GTTCCCCCATTAAACTCATTTCAAACTTATTTTGCATGACAGAGCTGAATTCTTCACACATGCTGGGATCAGTGCTCCCAAAGACTATGTCATCTACATAGACCTGTACTATTAGAGAGTTGTTATTTTTCCTCTTAATAAATAGGGTCTTATCTACACCACCTTGACAGAAGTCTTGAGAAACAAGAAATGAAGTCAGTTTCTCAAACCAAGCTCGAGGAGCTTGTTTGAGCCCATACAGTGCCTTAGATAATTTGAAAACATGATCAGGGTATTGACTGTCAATGAACCCAGGAGGCTGTTCAACATAAACATCTTCTTTTATTTCGCCATTTAAAAAGGCACTTTTAACATCCATTTGAAATAATTTGATTTTCATGTAACTTGCATAAGCACACAGAAGTCTAATGGATTCAAGACGGGCAACAGGGGCAAATGTCTCATCATAATCTATACCCTCCTCCTGACTATATCCTTGTGCAACAAGGCGAGCTTTGTTTTTAATTATAAAACCAAGTTCATCGGATTTGTTTCTAAATATCCATTTAGTTCCTATGACAGACACTCCTAGAGGTCTAGGTACTAGCTCCCATACTTTAAGTCTAATGAAGTGAGATAGCTCTTCTTGCATAGCAAGAAGCCATTCCTCATCTAGAAGTGCTTCCTTGAAGTTCTTAGGTTCAAAGAGAGAGACGAATGAGTACTGACCTGGTACATACTTACCTCGAGTGTGTATGGGATCAGAGAGATTACCAATGATTTGAGAAGAGGGGTGTCTCTTTCTGATATGTGCTGGAGCCTCATGATTCTTACTGAGTGATCCACTTGATGACTCTGAGTTGGATTCAGGCGATGAAGCTGGAGGTTCTGAGTTCCCTGCACCTTGTCTTTCATCAGTCCCTGCACTATCTTTCTCAGAACAGGGGGTTAGTGGAAGAAAATCATAGTTGTTGATGTCAGACTCCACGGGGAGACTGTGAGGAGATGTGTCAAATCGAACATGCACAGACTCCTCAACCTTTTTGGTTCTTTTGTTAAATACCCTATAGGCCTGTCCTTTGGACGAGTATCCAAGAAAGATGCCAATATCAGACTTAGCGTCAAATTTTCCAAGGGTGTCTCTTGTATTCAGAATGTAACATTTAGTGCCAAAAGGATGCAGGTAGGAGAGCTTAGGTGGTTTGCCCTTTAGTACTTCATAAGGGGTTTTGTTTACAGTCTTATTAATGGTGGTCCTATTTAAAATGTAGCATGCTGTGTTAACAGCTTCTCCCCATAGGTATTTAGGACACTCAAATTCTAGTAACATGGTTCTAGCTGTCTCAACTAAGGATCTATTCTTCCTTTCCACCACACCGTTTTGCTGGGGGGTTCTAGGAGCAGATAAGGTGTGGAGAATTCCTAATTCATCACACAGGGTACTAAATTCAACATTAATGAATTCACCTCCATTGTCACTTCTAATTGATTTCACACGAGTTTCATATTGATTAAGTATAAGTTTTATGAAGGCTTTGAATTTGGGAAATGCTTCATCCTTAGAGGCTAGAAAGTGCACCCAGGTAAATCTGGAAAAGTCATCAACAACAACAAGAACATAGGATTTTCCACCAAGGCTTTGCACATTGGTGGGACCAAATAGATCCATGTGCAGCAATTCAAACACAGATTTTGAGGTAATATTGGGTTTGCTCTTAAATGACTTCTTACACTGTTTTCCAAGAATGCAGGCTTCACAGGTAAAACTATCAGTTGATTTAATAACAGGCAAGCCTCTGACTAAATTTAATTTAGATAGTTTAGCTAGTCTTGATATACTAGAGTGACCAAGCTTTCTGTGCCAGCTAACAGTAGTGTCAGATATGGTACTTAAACAGACATTTTCAGACAGGTCAAGGGTAGCAAGATCAACAGTGTAAACATTGTTGACCTTTTTACCTTTAAAAATTACTGAGTTATCAGAGATTCTTTCAATTGTGCAGCAGAAAGGGTCAAATATGACTCGATAGGTTGATCCACAAATTTGACTGATTGAAAGAAGGTTATGTTTCAGTCCTTCCACAAACAGAACATCTTCAATTATTAGTGATGGATTACTGCTTATAGTGCCTTTGCCTATAACAGAGGCACAGTTATTATTTCCATAAAACACTTTACCTCCCTTTTTAGGATTAAGATAAGTGAACAGTTCCTTATTGCCAGTCAGGTGATGAGAGCATCCTGAGTCTAGATACCAGATATTAGCTCCCATCTTATTCTGAAATAAAAGAATTTTAGTTAGAGTTTTTAACTACCCAAACGAGTTTGGGTCTATTTCTTTTGAAATAGCACTTCTCATAACTATGACCTGATTTGCAACAATATGAGCAGTAAGGGAATCTTTTCCATTGACTGATACGACACATTGAGTACTGAGATTCAAAGCGTTGATTAGGTTCACCAGTTCTGTGAGGTGGGATTCTATTGAAGACTCTGTGACAGTGGTTTATTTCCCTTTTTAATTTCAAGTTTTCAGAAGATAGACTGCACACTTGATTGTTCTGGAAGCTAATTGCTTCCTGTTGTGATTTTAGCAGTTCTTTCAAGGCCAAATTTTCTTTTTCTTTTTCATGAAGTTGTGCCACAGTCAGGCAGTATTTACTCTTAAGTAGATTGCATTCGTTTTGAAGATTAGACAGGGCATGAAGGAAGAAGTCTTCATCATGGAAATCAGACATGTTTTCGGATAAGGATTCAGAGCTTACCTCGCTTTCTTCAGGTTCATTTTCCAGGTTGGACTCTAACCCCATGTAGGCAACCACTTCTGTTTCTTCCTCTGAGCTGTAGTCGCTCCAGGAGGCAGTCATTGCCTTTTCTTTCTTCTTGTTGAGAGGACAATTTGCTCTCATATGTCCTGTTTTTCCACATTTAAAACAGATGGTTGAGTCAGCTTTATTACTAGGATTTTTGTGATCTTTAGGACTTGATTCTGACCTGGTGGATCCAAAGGAATTACTGTCATTTGATCCACCAGAGTTAGGTCCAGATGGTCTAACTTGATGATTATTTCTGTTCCCAGTAGATCCAGGGTAGGATCTATTATTATAGTTGTTCTTTCTGAAGTTTTGGTCATGCTTAAATTTCATCATTCTCTGCAGCTTTTTGCTAGTTAATGCTAGTTCATTTTCAAATTCATCATCTAATCTTTCATCTTGATCTGAGCAAACAGTATTGAAAGCAATCGACTTATTCTTCTTGTCATGAAGAGAGTTCATTTGCTTCAGAACTTCTTCATGACTAAGGAGAGATCCAATAAGGTTCTCAAGAGATAGTACATTGAGGTCCTTGGCTTCCTCTATGGCAGTTCTTTTAGCCATCCATTCAAGAGGAAGTGACCTGAGTACTTTTCTAACCAGTTCTTTACTAGAGAATTCTTTGCCAAGACCTTTGAGTCTATTGATTAAAGTGGAGAATCTTTTATCCATATCTGAGATTGATTCTCCAGGCAACATGTCAAAGGTTTCATATTCTTTTATTAGTAAATCAATTCTAGTTTCTTTTACCTCTGATGTGCCTTCATGAGTAGTTTCTAGGATTGACCATATTTCTTTTGCAGATTCACATTTGTTAACTCTTTCCCCTTCATCATCAGAGATGGCAGAAAGTAAAATATGCATGGCCCTAGAGTCTAATTGAGCACTTTTTTCTGTGCATTTGACCATTCCTCCTCATCATCTTCTTTCATGTCAATTGGTCCATTTCGGACAATTGCCCACAACTCGCAATCGATTCCTCGGAGGAACAGTCTCATTCTCTTTTTCCAAACAGAATAATTTGTTCCAGAAAACCAAGGAGGATTTGAGCTATTAGGGAATGAAGTTGAAGTCATAGTGAACAGAGGATCTCCTTCTCAGCAACTTTGAGTTCTCTTGAGAAGGAGGCTCTGATACCAATTGTTGTCTCGCTATGCCTTTCAATTCATTTACTAAGAACACTCAGAGATGAAAAGGGGGAACACCTAGGGTTTATTCAATTGTTCGAAATCCAAAAGAAAAATAATCGGACTCAATCGATTGGATGAATCCAATACTGGAGTCGATACAGAGACTAATAAGTAAGAGAGCAGGAAGAAGAATCTGCCATGCCCAGATAGACTGAGTTCCTAGCAACAGCTCCAACTCAGCTATCCAGACACTACACAACCGAACCCAGACCAAAGGCTTCCAGAGAACAGACCTGTTCTGACTAAGCCTGAGGAAACCGTTGCCCATCTTCTCCATGCGCCGCTCCTTAAATAGATCTTCTTCCTTCAGTTTGCCTCTTCCTTCATCAATGGTGTTACCGTTTGGAGCCTTTGTTGTCGAGCATCGAGACCTGGATAGTCGAGGGAGTTTCCTTCTTTTGCGTTTTCTTCGATTATGCTGAAGGATGAAGGTGAGAACGCCCTCTTCATGGCTTTGACGACATCGTTTGGCTTATGCGCTTGAGTGGGCTCACGTGGTCATTTGAAGATGTCATCAGGCCAGGCCCAACAGGAATCTCCTAGGCTTCCGTCAATTTATAAAATTGTTAAATCCACAAAAATACCTGCAGAGGCTCGAAACAATTTAAATATCTTAAAACACGTTTCTGCAAATTTCCTGTAGATTTAGTGACTACCCAACACGTTTCTATCAAATCATTAAATCTCAAGCCACTTGATTAATTGGTTCAATGAATTAAATTAGTTTAACAACCAACCTTGGATCAAACCATTAAATCTCAAGCCACTTGATTAATTGGTTCAATGAATTAAACTAATTTGACAACCTTTGAAAATGCGTTTAACATTGACGTGTAGAGATGACAAAAATAACCACATCCGTGAAGTGAATATCTATCCTAATCTGACATAATCGGGTGTATAAACCCGACCCCAAATTTTTTTGTGGGTATGAGTAAAACCAAACTTGCACAATATTGCAACTGACAATCATTTCAAAACCTTGTCGAGTCTAGGAAATCCGGGGGGGGGGGGGGGGGGGGGGGGGTCTGTGAATTCTGCTATCCTGTAAATTCAATTCTATCCAATTACATCTGAGAAATAAAACATACCAAAAAACAGTATAAACAAAACAATAAAGATTTTTAGGGTACAAAACTAACAAAATGCAGAACAGGCTGCGAAAAGGGTCTTGTCTGGCCGATGCTAAATCATCCGCTCCTGGTTGGCTACACAAGATGTACTGATGTGATCAAAAGGTTAACCATACACTTCTACTTTCATCCTTTCTCCAGTTGTCACCGTCCTTCCTAACCTTCAACTGCTCTGGACCTGTCGGCTCCTCCTTTTCTGCCCTTCCTCTTTTTCTTATTTTCCGGATTTCATCATCTACATTCACTTCCGTTTCTCTTCCCATGTACAGATACAAGAATGACGAAAGATCGATGATGACTATGACTAGCATGGACCTTGCATATGTGGTGTCAAAAAACAATACTCCTATATCTCAAACATGTCGTGTCTGTTTTCATCTCATCAGTACATCACTACCCTGAGGAGCCCCGGCTGGGGTTCGGAGTAGTCAAGGCCCTCCTCTTCGAGCAGATACCGCTGTACAGCAATTGGAAGTCGTGCAGGGGTTCGAGCACCTCTTGTGTGATGCCCTGTTCCAACGCATATGTAAACCTGTAACCGCTGATCTGCAGATCTGGCAGTGCTCCTCAAAACACCTAACTCGTGCCTCAGCACGTGAATGGCTTCACTTACATGCAGGCCATGTAGATCTATCATCCGCTCATGTCCAACTCTGCCGTTTCCCTGTGTCTCCAGGCCACCTTGGTTCCTGCAAAAAGACACATATGAAACCAAGTTTTTAACCAAACATTGCTAGCAAAACAGCAAGGATAAACATAAAGTTCAGAGCTTTGCCCGACCAACCTCTGTCGGTATATCGAATCCTGTGCTTTCCCATGGGCTGTCTTCATCTGCACATTGTGCAGCTGCCCTTTGACACTCAACTCCTTAGCCAAGGCTTTATTTCCTATGAGATATGCTTGGCGTGCCTGTTTTTTAGGAAAAACAAACAGCATTCTTACATCATTTTGGACCAAACTAGTTACCACGCACAATATACAACCAGTCTACACTTGGCTAAATAGGAGCAGACTCCCATATTGGAGTTGGCTCCGTGAATTTCGAACCCATAACCACGGGCTAGCACCAAACCATCAATCAACACGTATGACCAGTTAGGCTACCAGCCTACGACTTTGTTTGAGTTGGCTCCGCAGTCTACTTATTAACTTCAAAAAGATTACTACATAATAACCTAATACGAAGCTCCCCAAAATTTTCACACAGGGATACACTTACTATAGACCTGTTTTACTTACTCAAGCCTCTCCATCTATAACAATGTCAATCTTTCAAGTATCATAAGCGGTTCTAGATTGTGTATTATTCAAAACCCACACTGAGTATAGTGCAGTAACGTTTTGCAATTGACTGGCAATATTCCTACAGATATCGTCCAGTGAATTATTTTATTGTTATATTATCAGAGGAAAAAGGGGATGTCTTGAGAAGTTTGTTGCCATATGGCCGTAAGCCAGAACAGAAGCTAGCTACAAACAACCAAGGGATATTACCTGTTCAAAGTAGGCATTCCTCAAACGTGCATGATCACGTGCTTCTTCCCGCATCTCAGAATACAAATTTGCTGCCATCTCAACAATGTTAAAGCAAATATACATATACAAAGGCATTTGCCCCACAATTCAAAAGGTAGATAAAAGTAACATTAATGACTGAAGTATATTACCAACTGCTTCTCCAGTTTCAAGCCAAGTCGGAGTGGCTCGAGAAGAAGTACGATTCTGTAACCTATCCGTATACATGGCTCTCCCTTGGGAACTACTATATGCACTAGCCAGAACATTCGAACTTCTGCTTGAACCAACTGTGGAGGAATCAGCAGGACCATTCCTTTCGTATTTCCACACATTTGAATCTTGAAGGGCCATTTTCCTAACAGCTGAAGCAAAATCAGTTGCTCCTCTAGATGGAAAGGATGGACCAGACTTAAACATGAGCATGTTCTCTTTCTCAGGAGATTGGTATGATGAGTTTATACTTTGCTGAATATCATCTCTAGGATACTTTGAGGAGCCATTCTGGCTTTCTTGCATAGAAAGAGCAGGGAAATCCATTGCACTGAGATTGGGAGCTGACAACGCCTTTGAATTCATACTCTGGCTAAAACCACCATCTACCTGAAGCTGCAATTTAGACACACAGATCATGCATACCTCTGTCATCCATTAAATGTCCATTTCCAAAGCAAAAGTTATCACACCTACATGTAATATTATGTCCAACATTTCAAGTTGAAGGTTATAGTTCTAGAACCGATGCCTAAAATACACAAAAACAAAACAGCTGATATCTCTTGTCAGTTTTCTTAACGAAATGCAGCAGAAAGTACTTGCATCAAGCTCATTGCCTCGATTCTCATAAGACATCCAGTATCCCTTTCCCAAGGTGTAAGACACATTGCAAATTTGGCAAACTTATAGCAAACACCCCCTGCTTCTCTTTATCCAAGATGTCGTTAAACCTGAGCATTACTACAGTTGTGTGCAATATCTTTACACCGGGATCTACACAGCCATCATGACAATGTCGGACAAAAAAGCCAGAATGAATATCACCAGAAGGTAAAGAGGAGGTTGTCTGACCAGGAAAAATAAAAATCGTACGTAAACTGGTAAGAAGTACTGCTTTATATGCTTTCAAGTCCAGACCCAATTTGTAGTGTATAAGAACCAGATAGGAAGGAACTTAAGTTTGTGTCAATAATAGGAGCTTCATAGAAAAAAGGCAGGCATGACACATTTATTGGGAAAGAAAAAAGTTGGTAGATTCACAGTCATTAGAGATTACACTAGGAAAACCTCATCTTCCCCAACATTCACATATACAACCTCCTTAATATCTTTCAGTAGCTGTTTCCAGTTATGATTGTCATATGCAGCAGTTCTAACTTTAACATGACATCCCTCTTCATAGTTAGGAAACAATTAACCAATTACCTATTCATAGTTGGGAAAGAATTGAACAATTGAAGATTTACATGATTTATGCAAGCAAAACAAGTGAAAATTACTCCAGGAATAAGCAAACAGATACAACTAGAAAGAAAGTACGCCAAGAGAACAGAATTAGTAAAAAGAGTAAACCTCTAGCTGAGTGAGCATCTCGATTGTAAGATTTAAGTCACACCCATTCGCGAAATAAACTTCCGCGAGGCTTTCAGCAGCAAATCCAGGGAATTGAGAAGCCAGAAACTCCAAGGGATTCATTTCTGTCCCATCCATCATAGCATGTTCACTTAACATGTCATTCATGAACACTTGTCCAGAATTGTCACTGTAAGGATTTATCTCCCTCCCGTTGCCAAGAAGTTGATCTGTGTTCATAACTTGTTTGTCCCATGGCTTAGCAGAAATATTCAAAAGACTGCCTGCTGTCGGATCTTCAGCATAAGAAGAAGCAGGAAACTTCATCTTGTCGCCATAGACGCCACCATTCAGATGACGAGGAGACGGTTGTTGTCCATTATATACGTGCCCACTGCCGACAGAAGGGGAGAACCTCGAGGCTTCAGTAACATCGTTAAATGACAAGCCTGCCAAAGAAAGGACATCATATCCTTGAGAATCATCTTCACCCACCACCTTGAAGTCAGGAGTGATATCATCAGGTAGCTGGTGACGCCAGAACCGATGAGCTTCTTCATCTGAGGCATTAGATACAGATGACTCTGAACGATTAAGAGCTGCATTCCCAACTGCCGCAGAAGTGGCAAACCTTGGAGCTGCATCAGCTGTGTTTGAAGTACTTCCAGGTGATCTGAGGGAAAATGGAACGAACTCTATGGCATTCGGATTCAAAGCCGTAGCCTTGCTTGGGAAGTTAATGCTTGTGTCGTTACTTTGAGACACCTTCTTGGATAAGCTCATTTCTGTTTAAAATGGGAACAATAACTCTACTATATTCAATAAAGAAAAAGGACACCTGAGAACTGAGTAATCGCAAGAGTTTCAGTAGGCTTATCCAAAACCTGCAAAACATCAAAAGTGGATTTCCATTAATCACGAGAACCATACAACAGCACTTACTGTCTCTATTGAGATCCACATTCCAGTTTACCACAGACCAACATCAACAACAATCCAAGTGGTAATAATATCTGCAGCAGCCAAAGCATAACTCAATTCATCACACAAATCCCAGCAAACCAATTTACCCCATTCGAGGTCTGCAAAGAAAGGACCGGAATACACAGCAACATGCACTTCTTGATGTTAACCAAGGATAATGGAACCAATTACCAACATACACTTGAGCAATTCAAATTAACTCCGCCTCTGTAAGCTTTACCACCAGAAAAGTAGGCAAAGCAAATTGATACACACAGCTTCTGCCGCTTGCATGGGGGCTTTAGCTTTTGCGAGTCAAAAGGGAAGAATAACTCGCCATCAAGCCAAAATTGAGGAGACCAACAATAAGATTAATTAAGAGCCAGTTCTGAAACACAGCGGTTGAAATTCACAGAATGAGCATGCAGCTGAAGTACTTGTAGCTAGAAAACACAAAAAGGATTAAAAAGCTTCGTTATCAACAGATAAGAGTTAAAGGAACAGAATCCCCACAACCCAAAGAAGCAAAAGTGTGTACATTTGATTTTTTCAGAAAGAGAGAAGCCCAAGAGAGAGGGAACCCTAATTTAGAAAGCACCGGATTTTGAACAATAGATTTCACAACATCATCCACAGCCGAAAACAGCAAAAAGAACCCCAAGAAAAGAGGGACCGAAAGAAACAAGCAGAAGGAGAAGCAAGCAATTAGATCTCAACAGAAGAAGAAGAAAAAACACCATAAGGAAAGAGGGGGAAAGAAGAGAAATTGACTAGAATCAGAAAAGATCTGGGAAGCCAGGAAGGGGAGATTAGGCAGTGAAGAAATACCGTACCTTTACGAACAAGGTTGAACGGATCCATGGAAGAGCAGATAAAAAAGGAGGGAGATCGGATAAGGGAGAGAGATAGGGGAAAAGGAAGAAGGTGGGAGTCAGCAAGCAGCAGCAGTTGAAATATAGGCAAAGAAGGGTAATATAGCAAACAGTGTCTTGGTCTTGGATATCGAGCTCCGGGATTGTCACTGTAATTTTCTTCCTCTCTCTCTCTCTCTCTCTCTCTCTGGAGCTCTGCGAGGCCTGTGCTGTGTGTGCGTGTGTGGAGGAAGGGGAGTGGATTTGGCTATCTATCAGCTATTTGGTTTGTTCGTTGGACATCTCTCTCTACGTTTCTTTCGCTCGAGTCTTTCCCTGGCTGGCTGCTTGCCTGCCCTGGCCTGTCCTATCTATCTCCTCTTTTTTTCTAATTTATTTTTTCAGATGATTTATAATTTATATCCTCTTTTTCTTTTCCTCTGTTACTATATATATGGGGTGTATTTATTTCATTTTTATCAAATTTAAGTTGAAGTTAAAATCGTGTTTGTGGTCCGATTGAAAAAAAAAAATCTTGTATCGGAGTTTAAATTGGTAAGTGATTTTTAGCGGAATTAAATTGTTGAACTATGATTAAGTCACGGTATAATACAAAATATTGTACCGATGACTTTTTAGGTATAGTTTGAAAATTATTGATTGAAACAAATATATTTGTACTCATTTATTATTATCTTTAATAAAAACCATTATCGACTCCAAGATAGGCCAATTATTTAGATGTAAAATTTAATGAAGCAAGTATGCAACAGTAACTCTAGTTAACGAGTGTACTTCGAGGGGGGTTCACGGTCGTGAACTCTGATGAATGTCTTTGATCTTTGGAATGCTTTCGTCTTGCCATGAACTTCTTTGGATATCACGGCCTAGGGTTAGCGACCGTGATTTTTCTTGCGATAGGGAAATCTTAGGTCACAGTTTGCTTCGAGCAACCACGATACGTTTTGTTCTTTAGGTCTTCTAGTTGGTATAGAATAAAATTATGTTGAAGGAGAAAAAGTACATAATCATCGCATTACTCTATCTCATAACAACATCAGTTTATATCTTTGTTGTTGAACTCCTATTCCACGAACAACCTTTATAAAGATTGTCGTCGAGAGTGAATTGGTGAACAAATATTCTTGATTGTCACTTGATTCATAATCATTAGGATCAAAACCACGAGTGCCTCAGATGTGGTGAATTACAAATCGCAACCAAAGATAGTCATGGCTTGTCTACTATATTTGTATTTTTTGGATCTACAGGAAACTTGGTAATTGTCATTGCCATGGATTCTAAGTGAGCTTTTGTGACCAAACGTGTGGCTTTTTGTGGAGCTGGTTGGTTAGTGTTTGTTATTTTTTTTTAACATAGACATCCATAAAGGTAGTAGTCACGAGTCATACAAAGTACAAAAGTAAACCAGGTAGTACGACTGTTGTCGAACTACCTATGAGAGGGCCGTTAGTGCCACAAAAGGGCAGCCCTATAAGCATCTAAAACACATAGACTACAAAAGAGCCAAAAATTTCACAAACAAAATAATCATGATCTCGAGCAGTCATCTTCTCCATCTCAAGATATTAGTCTTCAAAGATTCAGGCCACCGGTTGACAGATTACTGAGATTGCCACATGTCCCCTTTCGCATTGGCTATGAACCGATCAAGAAGTTCCTTGCAAAATGAACAAAATAATAGTCCAACAAGGCAAGGCCGAAGAGCCGGGGAAGGCCAAGCAGGCCCAAGAGTCAAAAGCAGCAGGGGCTAGAGAAGGTTGTGTGAGGATGCTGACCGCACTATCACCCAGTTACCCTCATCCTACTATCTTGCATTCAAGAGAAGGCCAATGTAAATGATCTTGCTGGTAAGCCAAAAGCATAACAACATCCCTGCAATATTAACAAACAACAGAAGAAAGAAATACATCTAGTCTCCAAGGGCTAACTAAGTTTCAAACAAATTAGAGGGGAGATCCCTGCACAAAAACCCCGGAGGAACAAACAAAGTCTAAAGAGGGAAGGCATCCTTAATCAATAAAGCAAGCCCCTGCATGACAACAAAACTTGAAATCCGAAGAGATCCTGCTGCAAGACAAACAAACCAAACAGCCCCTAAAAGGCACTCTAAGAATCCTGAATATAGTCATCCATACAATTTCAAACCAAAGAGTCATAAAACAGAACATAGCCAAACCCGGTAGTCAACCATTAGTCGAACTACTGATGAGAGGGCCTTCTGTGCCACAAGATGAGCAACCC